GAACTTCATTTTTAAAAAGGCCAACAGCTGTTTTCAACATAATAGAGATGTCTAAATGACTTGCTCTTCAAGAAAGAGGGAGAGGGTTGGGTGTGGTGGCTCACGCTTGTAATCTCAGCACTTTGGGAGGCCGAGGCAGGTGGATAACTTGAGCCCAGGAGTTTGAGATCAGGCTGGGCAACATGGAAAAACCCGTCTCTACAAAAAATAATAATAAAAAAATTAGCTGAGCCTGGTGACACATGCCTGTAGTCCCAATTACTCAGGAGGCTGAGGTGGGAAGATCACCAGAGCCCAGAGGCTGCAGTGGACCATGATCATGCCACTACACTCCAGCCTGCAAGACAGAGTGAGAGTCTGTCAAAAAAAAGAAAAAAAAAAAAAAAAAGAAAGAAAGAAAGAGAGGAAAAGAAAAGGAAGGAAAAGAGAAAGAAAGAGGAGAAGCATGGAGAAGTATCCCAGCCAAGGAGGGTGGTGAGGAGAAATCCCACAATGCAGCTATATGGCATGCTGAGCGAACAACCAGTCAGGGCTGGAGAAGGAGGATGGAGCGGCTGGGGATGTCTCCAGGGAAAAAAATGAAACTGACAAATTATCTAGTGAGGCAGACCATGTAGAAAATTGTACTGCGCTCGAGCATGTCACAGAGCCCTTGAGGGCTGCAGGAAGAGGATCAAAGATAGCTAGGCAAAAATGAAAAAAAAAAAAAAAAAAGTGAAAGAATTATTAACTTCAAGAAAAACAAAAACCTGTATAGATGTAATTGCAGTTCACTACTGAGCCCATCAAATAACTATATTTATATCATCATAACGCACACTCTCAAGTTGGATTTAACCCTAAATTGTGATGTGATGATATTGGGAGGGTGTGGAGAAGGGAAGTGGGTATGGCTGTGGAGGCTAGTATCACCTACTCCAACAGGAAGTCAGTAGATAGAGAAGCCAGTGTGTTTAATGCAGGGTATCTCCTATCGGGATCAGCATTAACCGACTGGAAGATCTCCGAGAAGATTATCCAAATTTCCGTACTCCCCATCACGTGTCAGAAGCAGTCCTGCTCTAAGGCATCTCATTAGCCTGGTGGTGGTTTGCACCCGCAACAGTCCCCTCAGAAAAACACAGCAGCTTGAAAGGCACAGTCCATGAGAAATAGTCTTCTACAGCTCTTCCTTTTTGAAAGAATTTTGTTTTTTGTTATTGCTGGATGGCAAACAAAATAACATCTGATTATATATCCAAATGCAGACTCAACTCCTTGCGTTTTAAAAAGACATTTCATATGTAGGCAAAGGAGCTCTTGTAAAGGTGTAGGCTGCAATTTGATTTTTTTTTTTCTTTCTGAGACAGAGTTTTGCTTTGTTGCCCAGGCTGGAGTGCATGGCATGATGTCGGCTCACTGCAAGCTCTCTGCCTCTAGGGTTCAAGCAATTCTCATGCCTCAGCCTCCCACGCAGCTGGGACTACAGGTGTGCGCCACCACTCCTGGCTAATTTTTGTATTTTAGTAGAGACGAGGTTTCACCATGTTGGCCAGGTTGATCTCGAATGCCTGAGCTCAAGTGATCTGCCCACCTCGACCTCCCAAAATGCTGGGATTACAGGCATGAGCCACCGCGCCCGGCCTGCAATTTGATTTTCACAAAGGATCTTTGCTTTTACATCCCTTGTTTTTCTGGGCATGTACCATTTCACCCTCTTGTTGGGGACGATGCCGAGCGAACCCGTTGAGAGCCTGCTGCAGAGATTAAGGAGACGGCAGCCTGTTAGGAACACTCAGCAACTCTGGCTTTCCATTTTCTTCTCCAGCCTCTGGCTGCTGCAGGGGTCATATGAGCACTCTGCTTCTGCATCCATTTCTTCCAGGCCCCATCTCCTTCCATACCTTAGTCTGTTCTCACATTGCTATGAAGAAATACCGGAGATTGGGTAATTTACAAAGAGAAGAGGTTTAATTGGCTCATGGTTCCACAGGCTGTACAGGAAACATGATGCTGGTAGACCTCAGGAAATTTATAAGCATGGCAACAGGCAAAGGGGAAGCAGGCACACCTTATGTGGCTGAAGCACGAGGAAAGGAGGGGGGTGCAGGAAAGTGCTACACACTTTTAAACAACCAGATCTTGGCCAGGTGTGGTGGCTCATACCTGTAATCCCAGCATTTTTGGAGGCTGAGGTGGGTGGTCAGGAGATCGAGACCATCCTGCCAACATGGTGAAACCCTGTCTGTACTAAAAAACAAAAAACAAAAAACAAAAAACAAAAAAACTGGGTGTAGTGGCATGTGCCTGTAGTCCCAGCTACTCAGGAGGCTGAGGCAGCAGAATTGCTTGAACCTGGTGGGTAGAGGTTGCAGAGAGCCGAGATCACACCACTGCACTCCAGCCTGGGCCACAGAACGAGACTCTGTCTCAAAACAAAACAAAACAAAACAAAAACAAAACAAAACAAAAACAGATCTTGTGAGAACTCTACCACAAGAACAGGACTGGGGGATGGTGGTAAACCATCAGAAACCACTCCCATGAGCCAATCACCTCCCACCAATGCCCACCTCCAGCACTGGGGATTACAATTCAACATGAGATCTGGGTGGGGACACAGATCCAAACTCTCTCCTTCCAGCTTCTCAATCTAGTTCTGTGAATTGTGTAGCGGGATATAGGTAACAGCTGTCTAAAAATTAAGGAGCTACTCTTCACCTGATGCTAGCACGTTCTTTTCATTGGTGAGGTCTGGTTAAGCTCTACTTTTCACTGGCATGTGTTCTTGCGTATTTCTTCTAAAACAATAGCAAAAACTAATATGTGTAGGGCACTTACTATCCTATCTCGTGGCGGGTTCTGTGCTAAGTGCTGTATATCTGTGATTACAATTTAACTTTTATAACAAGCCAAATGAGCAGGAACTCTTATTATCTCTAGCTTACAGACGAAGAATCCAAAGACCGGGAACAGTAAGTGATTTGCTCACCTGGTTGGCCAGCCTCCATAACACATCGCCGTCCAGTTCTGCCTTTAATTACCAAAGTGTAGACCAGCACGCTGCTTTGACTCTCCTGTCCTCGGCCGGGAGAATTCAACAGTGAAGTTAAACAACAAAGGCTGCTTTCGAAGATCGGTCTCAGTTCCCCGTTTCCACCAGCAGGTGGCACCGTCTGCCAGCGGAACGTTTTGCTTCCATTCCTGCAGAGGCACGCGCTCCGAGGCACCGTCAGAGCGTTCCTTCTGGCCGGGTTTGCCTATCTTGTTCAGCGAAGGCCACTCATGAGGACAAATGATGTTAATGAGACGCTGATGTGGAGTTACAGAGATCCTTGAATTTCTTTTTTTCTTTCTTTTTCTTTCTTTCTTTCTTTTTTTTTTTTTTTTTTTTTTAGACAGAGTTTCGCTCTTGTTACCCAGGCTGGAGTGCAATGGCGCGATCTCGGCTCACCGCAACCTCCGCCTCCTGGGTTCAGGCAATTCTCCTGCCTCAGCCTCCTGAGTAGCTGGGATTACAGGCACGCGCCACCACGCCCAGCTAGTTTTTTGTATTTTTAGTAGAGACGGGGTTTCACCATGTTGACCAGGATGGTCTCGATCTCTCGACCTTGTGATCCACCCGCCTCGGCCTCCCAAAGTGGTGGGATTACAGGCTTGAGCCACCGCGCCCGGCTCCTTGAATTTCTTTAAAACACACCTAACAACGCTAACTCTGCAATAATTTGTAGATCATTTTAAAGCTTAGCCATCTTCTCTCCCAGTGTGCTTGGAGCCACATGGTTCAGAGCACCATTTAATGTGAAACTCCAATTTTAAAACAAGGTGAACCTTCGTTTTACAAAACCGTAAGTCACAGAGTAGTGACTTGAAGTGATTTTGATTGAGTGAGTGTAATCTCCATGGTGCCATTTAAATTGGATTCAAATCCAGATGGCTCCACTGCTATGTCATCCCGACCTCTTGTGCCCTGATTCCCCTGGCTAAGTTCACAATACCTTCTACATGGGTATGGGGTACTGGGGTTGTGGCAATGATTACCTGAGGTTAATACAATGAAAGCACACTGGTAAGCACCCCTCAATGATAGCCAATATAAAGACCCAATCCTCCCAATTCTAAGGGTCCCCACCATGATAGAAAATGGATCTTTTGGTAGAGTTTGTTTAGCTCTTGCTAGGTCTTTAAATACTTGCTAGGGGCCAGGCACAGTGACTGACCCCTGTAATCCCAGCACTTTAGGAGGCTGAGGCTGGAGGATCCCCTGTGGCCAACAGTTTGAGACCAGCCTGGGCAACAGAGCAAGACCCTATTTCTACAAAAAATAAAAATTAGCCAGGCATAGTGGTAAACACCTGTAGTCCCATTACTTGGGAGGCTGAGGCAGGAGGATCCCTCAAGCCCGAGAGTTCAAGGCTGTAGTGAGCTATGATTGCGCCCTGCACTCCAGCCTGGGTGACAGCATAAGACTGTTTCAAAACAACAACAACAACCAATAACAAAAGCCGAAACCTCAAAACCTCTTTGTTGGACTTACTTCCATCTTCATGTAGTACCTTAGTATACTTGCAGCCAGTTTCCCTTTTAAAAGACAACAGTGTTATTATAAAGCCATTTGAAAATGGTCCCATGGAGGGGTATTTACACAACATTTAGTTTATGGGCAGGTCTTCAGAACACGGCACTTGCCTGGAATTATACTGACCGCCTCAACCCATACCAACCACCCAGAGATGGCTATTCTCAGTTCCTCCTCCTCCTCCTCCTTCCTGGTTTGAGACAGAGTCTCACTCTGTCACTTAGGCTGCAATGCAGTGGTGTGATCTCGGCTCACTGCAACCTCTGCCTTCTGAGTTCAAGTGAGTCTCCTGCCTTAGCCTCCAGAGTAGCAGGGACTACAGGTGCGTCCACACACCCAGCTAACTTTTGCATTAAGTAGAAATAGGGTTTCACCATGCTGGCCAGGCTGGTCTCGAACTCCTGACCTCAGGTGATTCACCCACCTCAGCCTCCTAAAGTGCTGGAGTTACAGGTATGAGCCACCACACCCGGCTCTTCCCATGTGTTCTGGCAGGGAATGCTGTTGTCCCCCACGCCTACCCTAAGAGGAAGACTTCTCCTGGGAAGAGATGCTCACTGTGCCCAGGCCCTGCCCTGACTGGAGCTGGCAGAAAGGGTCCCAGAGGGAGAACTTGTGCCACTCTGCCCAAAGCCAGAGTCCCTGAGGCACACACTCCATCAGGCACCAAGGTTAATTCCAACTGCCAGTTAGTATTTAACTTTCCATACATGATTAGATTAAACATGAGGGTTCATAAAAGCCTAGGATTGTAGACTGCAGTTGCAAGGGCTTAGATGGTCGTAAGCTGAAGGTGCCCAGCTGGCTGAGGCTTATGTGCAACCCAGAAGGGAGCTCGCTAACGCCAGCAAGAAGGTTCAGAACAGCCCAAGCTTTGGAAAGGAATTTCCTTGCCCACACGCTGCATAGGTAAGTCTTAGTACACATTCTTTATTTTTTGAGAAATTAAGTAACAAACTTAACAAACTTATCTTTTCCAGAAAATGATCAAAAGAATGGTTTTCCTGGTACATGGCCTGGCTCCCTCATCCATTCTTCCTTCTTTCCTGCTTGTGTTTTCCTTACTTCTTTGTTAGTTGACTTAGCATGAAAATTTTGAGAGTTTTTTAAATGGGGAATTCATGGTAAATGTAGGTAATCATATTGTTTTCTCTTCTTGATATAAAAATGAAAGACTTTGCTGCCTTTTGCAGGCCCGGGTGATGCAAATGATCTACTATCTTTCAAGAAAAGAAAACTTTGGACTTTGGGGTCAAATAGATGTTACTTTCCTACTAGTGTGCCGATTGCCCTTGTCATGAATAACACACATTCGTGACAGGAATGGCTGGAATTAGGGGATCATTCTGTAGCCTGGAGACAGGGCACAACTAATGACACGTGTAAGCCCAAACTGTGGTCTCCGTCTTGTGTCCTGTACCCAGCTGAGCCGACCGGTCACAGCAGTGGAAACAGAGAGTTACTGGAATGTGTGACCTCTGCAAGGGTAGTCAGTGCTGGGCACTGGCTTGGGTGACATGGGTTCTAGGCCAGGCACTGTGGCCAACTTGAGAGCCCCGTGATCTTGAACAGGTGACTTAAGCTCTCCATCCTATCAGGGAACAGGCCAGCCTAAATCATCTTCTGGGGCCCACCTGTGCCAGGACTCAGCAAGAACCATTCACTGGAAATGTAGCTCCTGCCAGGTTGAAACACATCAACTGCCCATATTTGACCATTTCTAACCTATATAAATGGTTATTTCACATGAGTCCCAAGAACCTAACAGTTGCCTTAGTATTACTAAAGTAAAGTGCCTATTATGATATTCTACTTAGGGGTAGGATAAGTATGTGTACCAAATACAGTTTGTTTTATTTTGATTTTTCAGATAGGGCCTCACTCTGTCATCCACACTGAGTGCAGTGCTGTGATCATGGCTCACTGTGGCTTTGTCCTCCCAGGCTCAAGTGATCCTCTCAAGTAGCTGGGACTATAGGAGTGGGCCACCACGTCCAGCTAATTTTTTATTTTTTTGTAGAGGTGGTGTCTCACTCTGTTGTCCAGGCTGAGCTCGAACTCCTGGATTCAAGCAATCCTCCCGCCTCAGCCTCCTGAAGTGCTGGGATTACAGGCATGAACCGCCGTGCCTGGCCTCCAAATGTGGTTGATGCTTATCAGTCAAAGAGTAATTCTGGGAATAAAAAATGGAAGTCAATTCACTTACAATTCGAATGTCTTAGCATAATGTCCTTCAATGAAGCTGCTCTCACACACTGTGACTCGGTGTTTTCCTGTGGTCAGGGAGCAGGCATGGACCACTCGGCCACAGCACATGCATCCGCATTCAAAAAATGATTCCCTTTTGGAGCCTATTTATTTGGCCTGCAGGGGTCGGCACTTAGGTATGTAATCCCCATGGGCCCTTTCCATCCCTGTGATGAAGTCTTATCAAAAAGCACTCCTGACCTGCTTAGCAGTGGGGCCTTTGTTCACATTAGAAGGGTTGAACAAATAACGGACAGTTGGGGCCACTTAGCTGGAAAAGGCTGGTGAATGCTGCGATGCCTGCACCTGGAAATCAACCCTGTGACTCCAGGGTAATTCAGCATCGAAGTCCCTCATCTCAAAGACCTTTTGTGGCAGAGATTCTTGGATGGACCTTAGGGGGCCCAGGAGTCCCCTGAAATTGAATGTAGCGCTTCCTATGTGCATATGTATACTTTCTTGGGGAAAAATAAAGTCACATCATTTTATTTTACTTTTTGAGGGATCTGTGACACTGTCCCCCACCCAATCCCCACACCCCTTAAAAATAAATTATGAACCACTCACTGTCCTGGTAGTTTCCAATTGAATTCCACAGAGAGAGGAATTCACCAAATCTTTCGTAAAGATTTGCTATGTGCCCATTGCTGTGTAGGGTCCTGGGATTCAGAGATGATTAAAGCAATCCCTGCTTCCAGCGGTTCAAGCTCTCCTGTCATTGGGTCTCCAGTTACTTCATCTCACTAAACATGGTGAAGGTAGGAGTTTATAGAGTGGTTTTGATCACATGAATAAGCACGTAATATATGGGCAACTGAAAAACAAACATGGTAATTGCAGAAGGGGCACAGAAAAAGGTCTCTGCCTAGACCGGGGGAGGTCAGGGAGAGTCCTGCGGATTGGTGACAAATGGCCAGGGTTCCTACAAGAGAAAAAGAACTACATCCACAGAGCCAGAGCCTGTCTCTTAATTTTAAAAAAAGGCCTGGCACAGTGGCTCACACCTGCAATCCCAGCACCTTGGGAGGCTGAGGCAGAGGAATCACTCGAGCCTAAGAGTTTGATAACATAGTGAGACCTCACCACTACTTTTTTATTAGGAAAAAAAAGTTAATTAAAAATAAAAGGGTGAGAGCACCAGTGACAGTCTTGAGTGGATTAAAGCCAGCTCAGCTAACTTTTACAGCAGACTGTATAATTTTCAAGGGAAAAAACACATCTCTGTTACATTGCTTAGGAAGTGTGCTTGGTATACACCTTGGGGGAATCTTATCCATTTGTTTAGTTTCCTTCCAACCCACCAGTCTGTGTGGCCAGGAGAGGGAGAGAATGATCTTAGAGCTCTCTAAGTAACAGAACTTAAAATATCAGACAGAGAAGAATATATTATCTTGGTGACGGTAATTCTCAGTGAGGAAAATCCTGGGGAGGTATGCTCTGTGGGAGAAATGCCTGCAAGTTTGTTTAACAGGTTTATTTGGTTTATTGAAGTTCCTTTCCCAGACAGAAGATCTGAAACTTCTCTTTTCGCAAAGGAAAGAAAAGTTGTGCTAAAGAGACGGGCACGTCTTTAGAACAGCAGCAGACAAACCCACGCTGGGTTGCTGGGGCTTTTACTAATTGCTAGTCATGGATTTACCAGCCTGTCTGTGCTCCTTCCAGCTTTGTTGAATCCTATCTAGGAACTGTGTTCAGCTCCATTTTCTGAGCTCCCTTGTCTTTCTATCCATACCCGTTACAACTCTTTGCACACTGCATTGCATTCGTTTGGTTTCTCCCATTCAGCCGAGCCTCTCACAGAGTTCCTGCCATCTCTGCAGTTTCATTGCCTAGCACAGTACCTGGCACTATGAATTAACATGAATCAAACATCCGCTGAGTGCCTTCTATGTGTCAGACATCTGCTACAGCGAGCTAGACAAAGTTGGCAGACATGACAGCCGAGTGGAAAAGATGAGACCCTAAACCACCTCAACCAATCATCAAACAACACACACACACACACACACACACAAATTTATATACACACACACTATATATATGTTATATACATGTAGGTATAAAAAAATCTTTTGCCTTGCAATCATTCGCCTTGATGTTATGTCTAAAGCCCCACAATTCTCTAAAAACAGAGATGTATAAAAAAGCACACCTATATAATTCTCTGAAAACAGAGAATATAAATGAGTCATTACTTCATTTGACTGACATTTGTTGAGTGCTTGTTATAAATATGGCATTATTCTAGCTGGTGCGAGGTTGCCAATTTTTTTTTTTTTAAACAGAAGTAATATAAATATATACGTACACATTTAGTGACTGCATATATGAAGCGTGCTTTTGAAGAATAAGGCGCTGTTGGAGAAAAATGGTGGTGGTGTTGGGAAATGATTTAGAGAAGAGCCAGGGAAATCTTCTCAGAAATGGCAAGGAGGCTGGAACCTAAAGAATGAGGAGGTGGAAGGTGGTAGAGAAAGGCAAAGCTATTCTGGGTTGAGAACAGAATGTGCTGATGTCCTGAGGCAAGAGAGCTTACAACAGGGCGGGAAGATGTCGGGTGTGACCGAGCTGTCCTGAGCAAAAGGTAACTGAGGAGGTAGGTGGTCAGGAGCCTGCTCAGCCAACGGGGTAAATATTGTTAAAGAATTAGGACTTGATTTTAAGAACAACTAACCATCATTTTAGAGGCAAACAAACAGCACTATAATTTCCCCTTTCAAAAGGGCGCATTGGCCGGGTGCGGTGGTTCACGCCTATAATCCCAGCACTCTGGGAGGCTGAGGTGGGTGGATCACCTGAGGTCAGGAGTTTGAGACCAGCCTGGCCAATATGGTGAAATGCCATCTCTACTAAAAATAAAAAAATGAGCCCGGCGTGATGGTACATGCCTGTAATCCCTGCTTGAACCCGGGAGGCGGAGGTAGCAGTGAGCAGAGATTGTGCCACTGCACTCCATCCTGGGTGACAGAGTGAGATTATGTCACAAAAAAAAAAAAAAAAAGTGGGCACATTGATGGCTATTCCAGGCAGAGAGGGGTACATACAACCCCAAAGAGATGGCCCTGGGGAGGGCTGTTATATTACGTTGTTGAGATTGGATTATCCAGGTGAGAGATGCTGGCAGCTGGGCAGTGCCAGTGGGGATGAAAATGTGAGATGGATTTGAAAAATAGGAATAATCCCTCAGATTGTTTCTTGGCATCACGTACCTAAAATATTTCTTTCAAATATGGATGTACACACCCCTCCTTTTAGGATACTTGGGACAATGTGTCACCTAGACATACGGGAAGGAACAAATTGGACAGTCTGTCAATGCCCCTTGACATCTTTTCCCTTGATGTTATGTCAAATGCCCCACAATTCTCTAAAAACAGAGAACATAAATGAGTCATTGCTTCATTCAGCTGACGTTTGTTGAGTGCTTGTTATGAATGTGGCATCATTCCAGCTCTTGTGAGGGTACTCATTTTTTAAAAAACAAAAGTAATGCAAGATTACTGATGAAAATGTGGAATATGAGAAAAGCATAAAGAAGGAAAGACGTATCTTTAAGTACGCCACCCACTGTTAACATTTTGATCTATGTATTTCTAATGTTTTCTCCATTTTCATAGATATGTCGATATTTACATGCAATATAGATATCAAAGTATACATATAATTTTGTCTGCCATTAAAATTTTTATTGTACAATAATCATGCATTGTAAAATAGTGAATAAAATGTATACGGTTAGTGTAAAGACTAACAAAATATGCATTCAATCACCAGCCAGGTTAGGAAGAAATACTGTTAACTTCTCCCCCTGCAGCTCCCTCCCTCCCTCCCCTTACGTAGCCAAATCCAGAAAAGATCTGTTTTCCTAACCTTGTTCACCTGTTTTATTATTTAAAATGCAGCAGGAGGGAAACATGCCTATTTTATCCAATTTCACACGGACGCTGGAAGGTGTCTTCCAAAGGATTTTTATTACTTATATGGAGGATTGGCGCAGGAACATGACAGCTGAGCAAGAGGCCCTCCAAGCCAAAGTGGATGCTGAGAACTTCAACTACGTCATCTTGTACCTCATGGTGATGATCGGAATGTTCTCTTTCATCATTGTGGCCATCCTGGTGAGCACTGTGAAGTCCAAGAGACAGGAACACTCCAACGACCCCTACCACCAGTACATCGTAGAGGACTGGCAGGAAAAGTACAAGAGCCAAATCTTGAATCTAGAAGAATCAAAGGCTACCATCCATGAGAATATCGGTGCGGCCGGATTCCAAATGTCCCCTTGATAAGGAAGAAAGGTACCAGGCCAACACCTGACATCCAGACATGAGATGCCAGTGCCACGAGGCAAATCCAAATTGTCATTGCTTAGAAGAAAGTGAGTTCCTGGTTCTCTGTTGAGAATTCTCATGGAGATTATGTGGTTGGCCAATGAAGATAGATGACATTTCAGTCTCAGTGATTTACGCTTGCTTGTTGGAGCAATATTTTGTGCTGAAGACTTCTTTTACTTTCTGGGCAACTAAATGTCATTTTAATCAATTCAATGGTAAAAATAAAGCCAAATTTGAAGTAAAGTGTCTGGGCAGTGGCCGTGGGACAGAAAGGAGAGATTTACAAAGCACTGAATCTTCTTTCTCATGAAACATCATTTGTGTGTGACAAATTCCATTTATAAATAACCCAGCTATATTATGTAGAAGCTGAGGTTCAAAAGCTACCACTTACATATGAAATTGACATAGGGTCATTTATTTATAATATTAATTCATGAGTGTTGAGTCTCAAGAGATGAATAAATGAACCATAAGCTTACCTTATATTTATTGTTTTCCTGGCCTTTAACCTATTTAGAAATCTTAAGACAGAACAAACATTTCTCCTTTTTCCTTTGAGACAGTGTCTTGCTCTGTTGCCCAGGCTGGAGTGAAGTGCTGTAGTCTCAGCTCACTGCAGCCTTAACCTCCTGGGCTCAAGTGATCCTCCCAGCTCAGTCCTCCCCAGCTACTGGGACTACAGACACGTCTGCCACCACACCCAGCTAATTTTTGTGTATATATATATATATACACATATGTGTGTATATATATATATATATATTTTTTTTTTTGTAAAGACAGGGTCTCACTATGTTGCCCAAGCTGGTCTCGAACCTGAACAAACATTTCAAAGGACAATCCATACCACAGAAGTCAAATATTTAAGAACTACCCAGTATAACAAGAACATATTTAAAAACTAACATTTAAAGTTCTGCAGAAAATTAATCTCAAAAAGTTCTCATTAAGGAAAAAAAATTATAATGTTGCATTATAAATGTATTCTTTTAACTTTAGTTTTCCTCTGTTTACAATTACTTATTTGCATTTATGTTTAAGAAACTAAAGATACAGAAAAGGTCTAAATTGCTGACGCCTTCTGAAGACCTAGACAGGAACTACTTAATATTTTGTACCACGGGGTGCAGGATATCATAGAATGTCAAGGCTGATCATTCTACTGTTGGCAGAACACTTCATTTACATATGAGAAAACTACAGTCCACTAAGAGGAAATGATTTCATTCACTAATTAAATTGGGCAACATTGATCTACTTGGTTCACTGGCCTAGACCCCAGGAGTATAAAGATGAACAAGGCCGGGCACAGTGGCTCATGCCTGTAATCCCAGAACTTTTGAGGCCAAGGTGAACAGATCACCTGAGGTCAGGAGTTCAAGACCAGCCTGGCCAACATGGTTGAACCTTGTCTCAACTAAAAATACAAAAATTAGCCAGGTGTGGTGGCAGGTGCCTGTAATCCCACCTACTGGGGAGGCTGAGGCATGAGAATCGCTTGAACCTGGGCGGCAGAGGTTGCAGTGAGCCGAGATTGCATTACTGCACTCCAGACTGAGTGACAGCGTTAAGACTCCGTCTCAAAACAAAAAACAAACCGATGCACAGGATCCCTAAGCTCAGGGAACTTATACAGTAGAGATGGAGTCAGACACTAAACATTATAGTACAATGTGACAAAGCCCTAACAGCGATCAATGAAAAAAGGATATGGCCAGCCAGCGCAGGGACAGGAGGACATGTCTAACACAGGTCAAGGTCTTCTTTCTCAGAGGAGCTGAGAGGAGCAGGTCAATAGCAGCAGAGAGATGTGGAGCCTCACCATTCCACAGCTTCATGCCTCCTAGTTTACCTGTTCTCCTGACTCCCCAGCCAAGACACAGCAATGATGGGCAAGGCCTCAAGCCTCAGGGCACTAGGACAAAACTCAGAGAAAGAGCTCTTCTTCAGAGCACGCCTGTAGGACTCCTTACTCCAACCATAAGATTTGTCTCTTTAAAATTACAGAGTGAGATATATACAATGTACCTACTTCCTAATAACACATTTGCAATTATGCCACCTGAAGCATTCAGTACAGTGTTAGAGAAAACCATCCATATTCCAAGAGCAGATGTAGGAAGAACAGCCTCCCTCCTCAGATCAGAAACCCAGAAATGCTGTCCCACTCAGAAACATCCATCCCAGAGAGCCTAGAGCAGCCATTAAGGCTTTAAATCCCAGGCCTCTGCTCTGCATCTAGAGAGAAATCCGAGGTTTCTATCAGGTGACAAAGACCCTCTCCTTAACCAAACTATCAAGCCCCTCTGATTCCTCTTTGACTAGAGCCCAACCGTGGCCCTATAAAAACTGCAGACTCTTGGCACAAATGATTTTGCCCACCTTCGCACACTAAGAGACTTCAACACTAGCATAGGTTCTAAGGGCTGAAAGCTAAAGTGTCTGCCCGAGAAAAGTGAATGCTGCCTGAAGAATTTACTATTTGTTCAAACCAAAACCTGGTGACTGGCAGACAGTCCCCGGCTCCCTGACTTAAAGCAGTTACTTTAGGAACTCTGCAATTACAAATCCTTTCTCTCCGCCTTTGAGATGTCAATCTTCTACCATTCAGAACGGTATTGTCTCTCTGAAATGCAAACATTCAAGGTCTCCTTGCTGAGTGGATGCCTTGCTCTAACTTACTGCCCCCTCATTAGAGACAGAAGTTTGTTTCCTCTCTCAATAAGAGCCAATTAACAAACCCAGATCACACTGACCAACCCCTTCCCACTTTTATGCATTTCCACTTCCTTGACTCTGCTGAAGCCCCGTTCCCACTTAGTTACCTTTGCACAAAGGGTAATTGGGCTGGGCCTTTTTCCTCTGGTAACAGCTAATGATTTCAGTTATTCCTTGCTGGTATAACGAGTGACTGGCTTTGTTTACCTCTGACACAAGTAAACAAACACATGAAGAGCAAAATCAAATTTTTTCTGGCCGGGTGCGATGGCTCATGCCTGTAATCCCAGCACTTTGGGAGGCCAAGGTGGGAGGATCACTTGAGGTCAGGAGTTGGAGACCAGCCTGGCCAACATGATGAAACCCCATATCTGGGCACCTGTAATCCCAGCTACTTGGGAGGCTGAGGCAGGTGAATTACCTGAACCCAGGAGGCGGAAGTTGCAGTGAACCGAGATTGCACCACTGCACTCCAGCCTGGGTGACAGAGTGAGATTCCACCTCAAAAAAAAAAAAAAAAAAAAAAAAAAAAAAAAAATTGAGGTTTTTCCCTAATTAAGTACATTTCATCACTGAAACTAAGGGTGATAACATAGAGGGTTATCAGCCAACTTCACTTTGGGGGAATGGGAGAAATGCTGACTCTTTCCAAGCACATTGGGTGTATAGTGGTTGAAGACATTTGCCAAGATTGCCACTCTAGGATCCACTCCCACCAAACCTGGGCTTTTCACTTTCAACCCACCAACTGAAAACGCCGGTTCATTTTTCTACCCCATTTGCTTTTAGAATTCCTTCTGCCTGTTTTAGTGGCTCTATATGACCTGAATACCACTTATTTCTTAAAGCATAGCTCAGATGCTATTTTAAAAGGAGCCCAGATTACCCAGGGTCAAGTCCCAGCTCTGGTACTTGCGGCCTTTAAAGCCACAGAAAAATTACTTTAATCTCTTTGTGTCTCCCATTTCCTCATTTGTGAAATGGTTATCACGACAGCCACTAAGTGCTTTAGAACAAAGCTGTTTCTGTTACTTTCTCCAGGAACACTTCCCTTAACAGAACCAACCCCATCCACCCCTCAGTTCTTGTCTCTGCACCCTCCATCATTCTAACATAACCACAGAGCCTGGATGGGATTTGGAGTTATACTGCCTTGGTTCCAATCTCAATTCCGCCACTGCCATTCGCGCGTTTTCTATTGCCAGCCAACTTACTCTCCCCCGGCCTCAGTTTCCTCATCCCTAGAGGGTGAGCAGAGCAAATGGTGGTAACTCCATGCACATTCCTCTCGTCATCCTTGTGTTGGGTGCCCACTTTGTGCCCTCCCATGGCGCTAGCACTGAGTGGGCTCAAACTGCACGCGTTTACGAAGCACCTGGATGAATGAAGAAATCTGGGAACCCAGTACCAGGGCACCATACCGTTACCCCGAAGGAAAACGCATGCGCGGTGTCAGAGATCTGGACACTTCTTAAGGGGACCCACGTGTCCTCGGCTGCAGACAGCAGCGAGAAGACACCCAGGGAATGCGAGACAGCGGAGAGTCGGAGGGGTCCCGTGACGACCTCTAATCCTGCTCAGGTGAGTTCAGAGCGAACACGCCCCTGCCCGGTCCACACCCCAGCGCCTCCCCGTCGGGGCCTAAGTGAACAGCAGCCTCCCGCCACAGCGCCCGGGCTCCCTGCCTGGGCCCACTGCGCCTGCGCACGGAGCGGCGCGCCCTAGGACCGCTGCCCGCGCCCAGTGCGCCTGCGCACGGAGTAGCGCGCCCCAGGTCGGCTGCACTACGCCTGCGTACGGAGTGGTGCGTTTCGGGACGTGTAGTTTTCCCCGTGGAAGTCGTGGTTTGTGTGCGGCCGGGCGTTGGAGGCTCTGCCGCCAGGAGCAGTAAGTGTGTGACGTCGGGGTAGGAGTGACTCGAACTCAGCATTTCTTTGGGGTGCTGGGATCTCGCGGCCGGCCCTGCGCTCGAGTTTTCTCTCTTAGACAAACGTCTGTCCGCCCTCTGCCATGCCGGGGCGGGGATCCGGAGGGTGAAGGCCGCCAGGCCGCATCCGCGGGGCGCCCCTGCTGGATCCGGCCGTCAGGCGCCGCCAAACCCACAGCGGCGTGTTCCGGCCGGCAAGCGGCCCGGGCAGGGCCCAGGATTGGTTCAAGCCTAAGGGTGTTGGTCCCCGGAGGGTCTAGGGGGACGATCGAATGTTCTGGAAGGGCGGGGGAAGCGATGACAGCCCTTGGCCCTCATTCTCAGGTCGGGGGGCGGGGGGCAGGTGGGGCGAGGACCCCGGACTGGCCCCCGGGTTACCCAGGAGGAGCTGAGGCCCAGAGAGGTTCAGCGACTCGCCCAGGGTTGCACAGGGAGTACAGTACACCGACGTTGCTCTCCAGGGCCTGGGCTTCCAGCAGGAAGAGAGGCGGAAACCTGTCATGGCTCCTCGGCAGATCCCTGAAATGCTGAGATGTGGAGTCTGGGTAGCTGAGATGGGGCGGGGCTGGTTTCTTGAAAGTCAAGGCCCCCGTGTAGAGGGGCAAGTGATGCCCGAGGTTCACCTGGCAGCCCCCTCCCTGGACCTACTTCTGTTTATGATTGGGTGAAGGGTTCGGTGAAAAGGGTAGAGACTGGGAATGAGAACAGCTTCAGAAAGTTCAGACAAAGGGCACAGCATGATTAGTGGCTGGAAGGAGACAGCAGGTGATAGACTGATCCTCGAATTTGTTAGGGGTGCCGAGAAGGAAAGGTATTAATAGATTGTGGACAACACATTATCCATATTGCTTTAGTTGGCCTAACCAAAGTAAGCGAGTAGCTTTTTTGTTTCTAACAGAAGCCTGACAAAGGAAGACAGGTTATTTTTGCAGTGAAGGAAATAGAAATATTTGGAGTTGTAGCTAAGCCGCTTGTTCCTTTTGAGTTTTGAGCTAAGATCGTGGATAGTTCCAGGGAAAGTTAAAAATTTTCTGCAGTTTGTAGACTTTATGCCCCTCAAAAAGTCCCCAACTTGTTGGCTTTTGCAGTTCAGCCCTCAGGTACCAGCTGCCTCGTGTTTCTAACATTGCATCAGGTGTACATATGGCAGCAAAGCACATAGCTTACTGATACTTGGAGCTTTTTCTCATTTGCTGAAGGCTGAAGGGTGCTATGGAAATGGCTGGCTTGGGCATGCAATTGAAGGGAGGTGGGGAGAAGTGGTCATTCAGAGGCAGTGGGTGGGAGTGAGCAGGGCAGATCAGGGTGCTTCACTCTCTTGCCTCCCACCCCGCTACAGCCCTTCTTTTACTGTTTCGGGTTGACTCTAAATGTTTCTTTCCTAAAGAGTTGAATGTTATCACTCCAGGTATGAAGCTGAGGCAGCTGCCAGTATATTTTGGCAGTCAGGTTCTGTGATATGAGTGAGGATGGTGAATTGTGAATTCCAGAGTTGCAGAATTGTTTTTTAGATTTAGATTTTTTTTTTTTTTTTTTTTTTTTTTTTTTTTTGAGACGGGGTCTCAGTCTATCATCCATGCTGGAGTGCAGTGGCATGATCCTGGCTCACTGCAACCTCTATGTCCTGCGTTTAAGCGCTTCTCCTACCTTAGCCTCTCGAGTAGCAGGGACTACAGGTGCATGCCACCACATCCGGCTAATTCTTTGTATTTTTAGTAGAAACGGGGTTTCACCATGTTAGCCAGGATGATCTCCATCTCCTGACCTCATGATCCACCTGCCTCTGCCTCCCAAAGTGCTGGGGTTACAGGTGTGAGCCACCGTGCCCAGCCTAGATTCTGATTTTTTAGATGACAGCACTTAGGTTCAGAGGGTTAATGACTTACTCCATATGCCTTGCCATGGGTGCCACCAAGAGGAGAGTTCGGGTCTCCAGTTCTCCTGGTCCTCTGATTGCTGTTCCTTATTCCGTGCCCTGCTGTCTTTGAATGACTGCATTTTGCACTGGATGCTTTCAGCTTGACATGTCTGGTAGTGGATGGAGCGAGACTGAACAGAACAACAATGGCTGACATTTAATGCTTTTCTGTGTGCTGGCCATGGTGCTTCGTGTTTACAGTCGAATCTGCAAGAGAATTTACAGATGGGCAAATTGAGGCTGAGATAGGCCAAGTGACTTGTCTGAGGTCACATTGCTAGTGACCACAGCACAGGCTTTCCAGAGGGCCAGACCACGGGACATTCTTCTTCATTCATTTCCTCCTGCAAGATTGTTGGACCTATTTCTCATTCTTGACTTTGGGAATCAACATTCTACATACATCAATTCACTGGATATGCAGTTTTGCCCCAGAAAATTTTGAGGGAACAGCCAGACTCATCTACTGTATTTGTATACAACTCAATTAAAGCAGGAATTGTAAAAATAACCTTTATAAGACCTTTAACATTTTAATATACAACACAGCCAATCACTAAGATTATTAGAGATTCTCAAAGTGGAAATTGTAGCAACAGGTTATAACATGTTAGGAACATATTTCTTTAGTGCAGGTCAGAATCTGCTTCTCCTTAAAGATAAGTGGGCCATTTATACATGAAGGTAATGAGCAAATTCAGCCACCATCAGTACAGTCGAACAGATCTACCATTTAAATTCCTATCACTAGCTTATCTGACTTTGAAAAAGTCATGGGGAAAACTTGGCTACGTTGTGCCAACTGCTAGCTTGTTTTCAAGATATTATAATCTTGAATAGATGGGGAATGAACTTTTTATACTTAGATATCTTTGTAATTGAAAAAAAATTTTTTTTTGAGACGGAGTTTTATTCTTGTTGCCCAGGCTGGAGTGCAATGACACAATCTTGGCTCATCACAACCTCCGCCTCCCAGATTCAAGTGATTCTCCTGCCTCAGCCTCTCGAGTAGCTGGGATTACAGGCATGCGCCACCATGCCTGGCTAATTTTGTATTTTTAGAAGAGATGAGGTTTCTCCATGTTGGTCAGGCTGGTCTCAAACTCCCTACCTCAGATGATCTGCCTGCCTCAGCCTCCCAAAGTGTTGGGATTACCAGCATGAGCCACCAAGCCCGGCCAAAAGTTTTTAAAAAATCTTGCCTGAAGTTCATCTTACCCCCATTCTAAAGGCCTTTGAAATTTTCAGCCACTTTTCTTAATTATAACTGTAAGTGCATTTCAAAAAAAGTGTTTCCCTGACCTTTGAATGCCAGGCTCATTGCCTGTGTCAGGATAGTGCCGAGGTTGGAGCCCCGGAGCCAGACTGGATGGGTTTGAGCCCCAGGCCCACCTGTGAGAGCTTGGATGTGTTACTGCGTTTTGTTTCCTCTTCTGTAAAGTGGAGACAGTAAGCTGTTTCATGGGGTAGTTGTGAGGGCTAAATGCCTTAACTCATTTAAGTACTTCAGCCACTTTTTTTGTGTCTAATACAAAAAAGTTAAGCTATAATTATTGTGCTATAAAGCATTGAATTTCAGAAAAAGTAGGGGCACTAAGCACCATGTCTTTGACACCTTTCTTCATTTACAGATAGGACTGAAGCCCCAGAGGGAAGTCACTTAACCAGAGATGTAGGAGGCTCTTGGGGTATGTGGCATATTCTGCGAGTAGTGACCGCCAAGGGCCTGGAGTGAATCCCGTGCTGGGGCTGCCCCTGCCTTCTCACTTCCTTCCTGCCTTCTGCTAGGTCTCCCTCAAGCTTTAGAGAGAATTCTGCATGTGAATTGCATCTGACAGTTTTTCTGCCCTGTCATTTATTCCCTTGCCTTCAGATAATCCCTGAAAAAAACCAAGATGAGCTTAATTAACACTCAGAGGACTTGACAAAGACACTCACTCCCAAAACAGCCTGTGTTTGGATCTGGAGCAGGTAGAGGGACAGATTTTAGACGTGGGCTCTTAGGTCCACAGATGAATGGGATGGGAGCACTTGGCGCCTCAGGAGCAGCACTGGGGGCTGCAGAGAGCTGCTGAGGAGAGTTTACAGCTCAGTGAGGACCGCCTTCACCCAGCCCGTCCACTTCCCAGCAGTCTGTCAATCGCCTTATCAGGACACAGCCCACCTCTCTGTGATGCTCACTTTCTGTTCACATGCCCTCTTTCCATCAAAGAGACATCTTTCTAAGATGGTCTGCCCTAGGAACTCCAAATTGACCTTTTTCTTTCTTCCTGCCCAGATCAGACCTTCCAGTTCCCTGCACTTGACCTTCCAGCCGCCTCTCATGTGCTTGTCTGGTGGGGGTTTGTGTTGATCAGGAGTGAATTTACAGTTGCTCTACCATGAACTGGAAGGTGAGTATAGTTTCAGATGCACACACCCATGTCAGAAACACACCCGCGTCAGGAACATACACCACTGCTGGGTGCACACACTCATGTGAGACACACATGCCCGTCAGACACACACGCCCATCAGACACACCCATGTGCACATACCCCTATTGGGCACACACACCCTGGGCACAGTACCTATGTCAGACACACTCACTCCTGTCAGGTGCACACAGCACTGTCGGACAGACACCTCTTTCAGGTACACACCTGTCAGGTACAGGTGTGACAAATTCTTTTCTCAGTCAGTGTAGTGTTAGCATAAATATTTATGGCTTGAGGTTTTCCCTTCTTCCTGATTGTGAAAATTCAGAATAACAGTTCTATACAAGTAGATTGATTAAAAAGAAAAAGTTGAAAGCATAATATTTATGTTTCATTTTAAGTTAAACATAAATGTACATTTACTCACTGGACTTGTGGAAGAAGGCCAGGCCATTTCTTCTTGTGTGCATTCACTAACTTCAAATCTTCCTCACTCTTCTTACAAAAACTACACCTTTAAAGCTTTACCTGCAATTTTGCATTTTGCTTTCTCTTTTTATACATTTTGTGTGTGTGTGTGTGGAGATAGGCTTCCATTATGTTGCCCAGGCTGCTCTTGAACTCCTGGGCTCAAGCAGTCCTCCTGCCTGAGCCTCCCAGAGTGTTGGGATTGCAGGAGTGAGCCACTGTGTTCGGCCCATTTTGGTTTCTTTAGAGTAGGTGCAGTGGACTGAATGTTTGTATTTCCCCAGGTTCGTATGTTGCAATCCTAGCGCCCAGTGTGGTGATATTTGGAGTTGGAGCCTGTAAGAGGTAATCAGATGAGGAAGCTGGAGCCCTAATGTATGGAATAGTGACCTTATACAAAGGACTCCAGAGAGCTCTCTTACTCCCATGTTGGGGGCACAACGGGAAGTCAGCCGTCTGCAACCTGGAAGAGGGCCCCACTGGAACCCACCTGGACTGCACCCTGATCCCCAGGCTTTCAGCCTTCCACACTGGGACAGATATCTTTTTAATAAGTCACCCAGTCTGTGGCCCTTTGTTGGAGCCTGAATTGACTCAGATAGTGGATTAAGATCTTAGGAAGCACTGCACACCGCATCTTGCCAGAGTTTCATGCTATTCCCTAGTCTTCTACGGTTGTCTTGCCAACAGCATTTTTTTTCCAGCTCATACTTGAGTCTTTCAAAGTATTCAACTTGGTTTTCATAAAAACTTTTGTTTTACACAGTCATATTTCACAAATGTAATGTTTAAATAAGTTATCGAACATAGCGTCAAGTACAACTTAAATCGCTTGGCGAATAAACACACCTGACCCTTGTGAAACATTAGATTCGACTGGTGGCAGCAGAAGTTCAAGGGCAGCCAGAGAGTAGGTCAGCAGTCAGGTTTCACCGAGAGAAAGGAGAATGTCATTTTTAAGTCCCTGACGTCGGTAAGGTGAGGTGGAGGTTGGTGAAGACAGCAGCCACTAAAATACATGTTTATTGTAGTCACTTAGCAAAGGCTAAAATCAAGCAAAAATTATACATTGTCTCACCATCTAGAGACAGCTACTGTTAACAGTCTTGGTGTAGTCATCCTTTTCTGTACGTATGTGTGGTGTGTTTTCATACATAGGATCTTATTATATGTGTTTTTTCAACTATTACATGTGTTTTTTCAATTATTATAAGCATTTTCTTCAAAACATCCAGTGATTTTCTATTGCAAGGAGAAACTGGAAAGGTCTGGAAGCAGGGCCAGGGAGCCAGGAAAGTAGCTTTCCCATCTTCCCCAGCGCTTTGGGGCAAGGGGCGTGGCAGGCCCTGCAGAGGGCTGAGGCCTCAGGACCTGGGGTAAGTTGAAAGATGCAGAGTGAGTGTTCTGTGATGGGTTGGAAGATACAGGAGAGTTCGTTTAGCATGCCTTGAGGATCAGAGCTCACAGTGGAAAGGCTGGGAGGGAAAGAAGAGGCGGTGAGGATGGAGAGGGGAAGGAGCGGAAAGCAGCATGGGGTGAGGTTTAGGGGGGCCGTTTGCCCACTGCAGTGGCGAAGTCAGTAGAGGTGAGAGGCAGTAAGTGGTACTAAGGGCCAAGGTTCAAGGCATTAAACCGAATGCTTCAAGGTGGTGTTTCTCACCCTGAGGACTAGTTAAGGCAAGGATTTCAGGCCTCACGCCCAGAGCTTCTGATTGGGTAGATCTGGCTGGGGCTGAGAATTTGCACTTTTCTCAAGTTCCAGCGGCACCGAAGCACACTGGTCGAAGGCAATGTGTGGAGACTTTTCTTCTTTAATTGTGTAGTGGCACCAACCCACTTGACCCTTGGGCCAGTCTTGCCTGTGACAGTTTTTTCTGCTGTCAGGGACAAAATCTCCCCAAGCCTTCCCAGACTCAGCTCCACGGAGCAGCTTTGTATTTAAACACAGCCCCTTCCAATGTAGCGTTAGAAAGGAATGGCCCCAGGCCGGGCACTGTGGTTCACGCCTGGCACTTTGGGAGGCTGAGACGGGCAGATCACTTTGAGCCCAGGAGTTCAAGACCATCCTGGACAATGTGGCGAAATCCTGTCTCTACAAAAAACATACAAACATTAGCTGGGCATGGAGATGCGCACCTGTAGTGCATCTGGGAAGCTGAGGCTGGAGAATTGCTCGAGCCTGGGAGGTGGAGGTTGCAGTGAGCCGAGATGGTACAACTGCAGCCTGGGCGACAGAGTGAGACCCTGTCTAAAAAGGAAAGGGAAGGAAAGGGGAAAGCAGGGAAGGAAGGAAGGAGGGAGGGAGGAAAGGAGGGACGGACGGAAGGAAGGAAGGAGGGAGGGAGGAAAGGAGGGACGGATGGACGGAAGGAAGGAAGGAGGGAGGGAGGGAGGACCTTGATTGCAGAGAGCTGCGAGGTTGAAGGATTCTTTGAAGGATTGTGTACCCCCAGAGCATCCGGAGGCCTTCCCGCTCTGGCTCAATGGGCCATGGCCGGCAGCGACAGTCAACACTGCCTGTGCATTAGCAACAAGTGTGGACTCATTATTTAAAAACTTCATTATTCCCATTTTATAGGTATTGGGGTTTTGTTTTTAAAAATTTATGTAGGTCTAGGCCAGACACGGGGGCCCAGCCTGTAGTCCCAGAACTTTGGGAGGCTGAGGTGGAAAGATCACATAAACCCAGGAGTTCGACACCAGCCTGGGCAATATAGTGGGACCCCAACTCTACAAAAAATAAGAAAAAATTAGCTGGGCATGCTGTCACCTGCCTGCAGTCCCATCTACTCAGGAGGCTGTCGGGGAGGATTGCTAGAGCCTGGGAGCTGTGGTCACGCCACTGTACTCCAGGCTGGTTGGAGTCTCAAAAAAAAGTTAATATAGATCTAGTCTACCCTGGTAGAATTCATTTTCCTCCCTGAAGGTCTGCATGTTTCAAGAAATATAAGGAGCTTGTTAAAAGGAAATTAGAGGAAGTGGTTTCACACCACTGAAGGTTAGTGCCTAGGAGAGGGGCCGGAAAGGGGCCCTGAGGCCCTTCACTTTAGCCTATTAATGTTCTTGACCTCTGCTGCCCTGTTCTGCCTCCTTCTCAGTCCAAACTTCAGCCTCTTGCCATGCCTCTTCACTGTCTGTGAAAGAAAGTGGGCACTGAAGCCCCCTGCCTGCATCCATTGGCGGGTGCTTCTCCATTTTCATGAGTTTTCTAACATCTGGATGAGAGTGTACACTCCTGCAATTGCTAAAGCTAGGTTTCTTATTTGGATTGTAGGGAGCTATGGGCAGTAATGTGGGCTTTGTTATGTTAATAGTAGGACCCCATTGGTTTATCTGGAGAGACTGAGAAAGCTGGAAGAGAGTAGCTTTTCCCAGTGTGATTCAGTGTGTCAGATAGCCTGGAAACTCCTAGCAAAAAAAAAAAGAAGTTTGTACAGCAGCATTCTTTTCGTAGCTGGTTTGTATGCATGGAGTCAAACCTTCACCACTAAAATGTGACCCTTCAAGAAAACAGAGGATCTCAAGGTTTCTTGAAGGGAGGGGGTTAGCCTAGGGAAGGAAGAAGAGCTGATAACCAAGTCAGTATTTGAAGCTGCTTATATTTAGCAGGATAAAAAGTTGAAAAGTTCCGCTTTCAGAACGTTTTCAGTCTTTTATACTGATGCCAGAGTGATCTTTCTGAAGTATATGTGATGTGTTTATTCTTTACTGTTAAAACGATTTCCTGGTTGAAAACTATTAACTAATTACTGAGTGTTCTTGTGTTCTTACTGTTTTAGTAAAATTAAAACGATTTAAGTATTTGCATCCCTGCCTCCTCCCATGATTTTCATTCCATTTCTGTTGTATCACGTTATATCCTTCTGCATATCCATACAAAACTAGTAAGATGATTTCAGAGGTAGCGAGTCTGGTTGCCTCTGGAAATTTCAGTAGCCAAGCCACAGTGTATTTGCATAATGTAATTGCGAAGTGGATGAGTGTGAGGAGTGAATCATACATAGTAGGACAGCGTGATGCTGCAGAGTTGGGCTTTGGTGCGGGGTCAGGCCCTGCCTCGCTGACTGCTGCTTCCCCGCCTCTGCATTTTCTCAGCTCCGCCACAGTCAGGGCGATCCATCTGCTCGCGGAGGTAGCTAAGGACGAAAGGGAAAGAGCCGCGTAAGGCACTTTGCATGCCGTGAGTTCCAAGTCGACCGTAGCTGATGGCTACAGCTTCTAAGTGCGAAAATCCACATCTAGTTCTGAGTCATAAAGAGTTTTGATAAAATCATGGGAACATATGTCTACATACATTGTGATTTCCTGAATTTCAGCGTATTGAAAATCAGGCATCAGTGGAAGGGAAGGGAGACTGGCCCCGGGGTTAGAATGTCCTTCCAACTAGCTACTCATGAGGGAGCTGTGCGACCTCTCAGCCTCCTGGAGCTCTGCTTTCCTTGCTCATATAACCAGGGGGTCAACTAGGTCACCCTGAAAGTTCTTCTCAGCCCCTCGGTTCTGTAAGCATCTCGTGCACACCAACTAGGTTCAGATAAACTTCAGTTAGACTATTAAGAGGGAGGTGCACATGTACCCCCCCATAGTAGAATCTCATTTTATTGGTATTACATAGAATAAGTGATTGGCAGAAATATAAGGATTTCACTGGGTGTGGTGGCGCATGCCTGTAGTCCCAGCTACTCAGGTGGATTTATCTGGGTTTTGTTGTTGTTGTTGTTGTTTTAAGACATGGGATCCTATCAGGTAAGATGCTGCCTGGTCCTCTAAAATAATGCTTGCTTAACCGAAGCATACCTTTTCACTATTTGGGAAGGAATTTTCAATCACCTAAAAAGCACATAATTGTCATTCAGGTCATACCAACCCTGTGTATGGAACTGGTGTTTGCTTTGAGGTGCTACTGCAATATGTAGAATTTCACAAAAAAACGTACTAGTGCAAATAGTGAATAATTCAAATTCATAGTTTTCCCCTAGATTTTATTTGAGTAAATGGGTTTGCAGGAGCAGTTGATAAGTAGCTATGTTTTAATGTTTTCAGTTCTGTTGTGTTTTATTTTACCATCAAGTGCCAGTGCTAATGAGTCTCTAGAAACGAGAAAATCCAGAGTACGAAAGCTGCAGTTTCCAGAAGCAAGGTCTGATTGACCTTGACTTTGCAGATGGAGCGGCAGGAGCTCAGAAAGGCCCATTGCCTGACCCAGGTCGCAGTCAGTTGGTGGCAAAGTAGAGCTGTGACCCAGGCCTCTGGGCTCCAGCTTCTTTCACTGGATCCGGCTGCTGCCTCAGAAGCAAGGGCCTGTGTGATTGGCAGGTTGCACGGTTTGAGCTGAGAGAGACCAGAGTCACCACGCTGGTAGTTGACTGGTGGTCCCCTCCATGAAGCCAGTCGCAAGCAAGCCACAAAGAGCAGAGCTGTAACTTGACTGTCAGCCCGTGGGGATGCAGACCTTTTTGCTTGGTCTCCAGTGTAGCCCCCGCTCCTAGCCTCGTGCCTGTCGCAGAATAGGTTCTAAGTAAATGTTTGTTGACTGAAGGAACATAAAAGAAACCTCCCATATCAGTATGGAACCTTTAGCATGACTTTCTTCTTGAAGGTTCTGGAACACGTGCCCCTGCTGCTGTATATCTTGGCAGCAAAAACATTAATTCTCTGCATGGCATTTGCTGGAGTGAAAATCTACCAAAGAAAAAGATTGGAAGCAAAACAACAGAAACTGGAGGCTGAAAGGAGGAAGCGATCAGAGAAAAAAGACAACTGAAGGTGAGTTGCCGGACCTTGCAAAAGGGAGCTGGCCAGTGCGCTGACCGGTGAGCGGGTGACAGAGGTCTGAGACTTCCCTGTCCGGGGTCTGAAGGGCTGCCTGGGGGCACGTGGCCTCGCCGGTTCTCTCTAAGGGCCAAGTGTGCAGATCCTGGGCGTGGTGGAATCTGAATGCTGCTGAGCCGAGGCTCACGGAGGGTTCGTTCATCCTTCTCGAAAGCTGCTTCCCAGAGAAGCAGATACTGAAACCATCTGCATTTGTGTGGGGAGAAGTTGGCAGATGCGAGGAGTCACAGGTCATTTGAAATTCTAAGATTAAGAAGCCCTGTTATCTTTAAGATACACTCTGACTCCTGGGGGAGGAAGGCAGCAAAGCACCCTGCCGCGTGTGTACCTAGGCAGCAGTCCTGCATGTTCTTCACATGTACCCCAAAACCTAAAATGCAATTAAAAAAAAAAAAAGTCTGACTCCTTGGTATGACAGACAAATCCCTTCCCAGTCTGGTCTCAACCCAGACTTCATTTGCCACTTCTGCCCACTCCCCGTAGGCCATTCCTCGGCCACCAAGGCCTTTGGCCGTGCTTATTAGGCTCTTCCCAAGGACCTCCTCTCCAGGCCTGAGGGCACACTCGTCGCTGTCACCCAGTGGCTGTCACCTGTCACAGTGCACACTGGTGGGCTTAGAACATACTTGGGGAGTTACAGTACATCAAGGCACCAGAAAGTTACTGTTAAGGCCCCTGTTGCAGATTTCACACCGGATAATTCACAGCTACCTTGATTCTGGTGTATTGATGTAGTTTCTTCACTTTGCAGGTTGAGTTTTGTACTTTAAAAATTGTAGGATTCAGCCAATGTGGCGGCTCATGCCTGTAATCCCAGTGCTTTGGGAGGCAGAGGTGGGAGGATTGCTTGAGCCGAGGAGTTTAAGACCAGTCTGGGCAACATAGGGAGACTCTGTCTCTACAAAAACTAAAACAACAGCAACAACAAAAAAGCTTAGTCACACATTTATTGGGTGTGCTAACACATGCCTGTAGTCCCAGCTACTCAGGAAACTGAGGTGAAGGATTGCTTGAGCCCAGGAATTCAAGGCTGCAGTGAACCATGATCACACCATTGCACTCCAGCCTGGGTGACAGAGCAAGACCCTGTCTAAAAAAAAAAAAAAAAGGATTCAAATATATGGCAGTGGTGGGGGTTCTAGGTCAGTGCTTCCCAGACCTGGCTAATGATCAGAATTGCCCAGGTGTTTGTTAAAATAAAGATTCCCAGGCTTCAATCCAGAGAGATTCCATAATGTCTCTGGTTAGGTTTCGGTATCTGGGTTGTTTTGTTGTTGTTTTTAAGATGCAGGATCCTACTCTGTCATCTGGGCTGGAGTGGTGCAGTGGCATCATCTTGGCTAACTGCAGTCTCAGCCTCCGGGGCTCAAGCAATCCTCCCACCTCAGCCTCCCAAGTAGCTAGGGCTACAGGAGCATACAACCATACCTGGCTAGGTTTTTAAAAAACTTTTTGGTAGAGAAGGGGTCTTGCTGTGTTGCCTAGGCCTGTCTTGTACTTCTGGGCTCAAGCAGTACTTTCGCCTCAGCCTCCCCACGTGCTGAGGTTACAGGTGTGAGCCACTGTGCCCAGCCTCTGTTCTTTTGAAAACCCGTTAGGTAGTCCTTAGGTTGTCTTCTCAGCAACAGGTCCTTGTAGGAGCCACTGGGCTCGGTGACCCCCCAAGCCCAGCCTACTCGGCGATTCCACGCTCCGTCAGGAGGAATTTCTTTGCGGTGCTGTCAGACTTGCTGAGGTGAAAGGCCTACTGATGAGGAATAGTAGCACCACCTACTGGGTGGTTCTTCTGTGCTGGGGACTCGGCCAAGCATTTCATGCACAACTGTGTTATTCAGCCCTGATGACTCTGTGAGGCATGTTCAGATGGAAAGAATGGCTCACTCTGTATATGGTGAAGAACAGAATCAGAAACTGATCCCAGGTCAAATGCATTCAATCATCAGGCCCGAGCCCACGCTGCACTGCGTTCCTGAATACAGGCAAGTGAGCTTGTAGGGACACTTTGCTCTCTGTCACTCACCCCTTCCAGCATCTGCCCACCACTTGCTGGTCCTCAGTGAGCTGTAGGCTTTTGCTAGTTAGAAGTTAATTTCCCTTTTTTTTTTTTTTAAAAAAAAAAAAAACAACAACGATGTTTTATTGACAAATTCAGGAGTAGGCATTAGGATGGGGAGGAGAGACATTAAAAAGGGTGAGGGAAGGCAGTTTAAATTAAAACGTTGCTGATTGAATTTATATTCCTGACAGTCCTCATTTTGTGTGTTAAACGGATTAAAGGAAGAAAAGATGAGATGGAAGATCATAAAGGCTTTTTCCCTCCCACAAACATCACCAGAGACCTGCAGTTAAGTCAGGGCTGGATGGCTAAGAAGCAACTTGGGGTGTGGGGCTTCCTCTCTAGGCTGGGAGCTTCTTAAAGAGTAGAGCCTTGCTTCAAACAAAGGGGGTTTTCAGGCCGGGCGAGGTGGCTCAGGCCTGTAATCCCAGCACTTTGGGAGGCTGAGGTGGCTGGATCACCTGAGGTCAGGAGTCCAAGACCAGCCTAGCCAACACGGTGAAACCCCGTCTCTACTAAAAATACAAAAATTAACTGGGTGTGGTGACACGTCTCAGTAATCCCAGTTATACTCAGGAGGCCGAGGCACGAGAATTGCATGAACCAGGGAAGCGGAGGTCGCAGTGAGCCAAGATTGTGCACTGCACTCTAGCCTGGGCAACAGAGTGAGACTTTGTCTTAAAACAAAACAAAAAACGGGGGTGGTTTCAGATGGAAGGGAAACACGATGTTAAAAATGCATTCATTAATAAATAGACTTGAGTGATAGACGTGCGTGATGTCCATTTGTTTAGTCTGAATGGCTGAGCCCAGGTGTTGATGTTGAGCCAGTAAAACATTAGGTATACCCTTGTCAGACATTTCCTACTCATCCCTTTGGTTTTCCCTTCTAGATTCTGCAATGTAAATGTCAGCTTGAGTGGATTCCGGCTGAGAAGAAAGAGAAGAAAGACTTAATTATTGAACAATGTGTCAGAGGATAAACTCCCAGCCTAGACCTTTCACTCAAAATAGCGTACATTTGTATATGCTTTTAAAAGAACCAGTATTAGCCGGGCATGGTGGCTCACGCCTGTAATCCCAGCACTTTGGGAGGGTTAGGCGGGTAGATCTCTTGAGGTCAGGAGTTCAAGACCAGCCTGGCCAACATGGTGAAACCACATCTCTACTAAAAATAACCAAAGTTAGCCAGGTGTAGTGGCACATGTCTGTAATCCCAGCTACTTGGGAAGCTGAGGCAGGAGAATTGCTTGAACCCAGGAGATGGAGGTTGCCTTGAGCCGAGATCATGCCATTGCACTCCAGCCTGGGTGACAGAGCAAGACTCCGTCTCAAAAAAAAAAAAATTAAAAAAAATAAATAACCAGTATTTTGTTTACTAAAATATCTTTTTTTAAAAAGGTGTCGTGGCTTTTGGAATAAGTCACAATGTCTCTCTCTCTCTCTCTGTCTCTCTCTCCTCTCTCTGTCTCTCTCTCTCACATAGCACCCTCCACCCTATGTTGTAAAGGACGGGGTTTTGTAAACTCGTACCTCCTGTACCATCTCAAGCTGGGGGGGTCCCACCTGAGAGTCTTCCACAGAGGACGAGGTGCTGCAGAAGCATTTGCTGTGGGGGTGGGGTCCCCAGCACTGGGTGCCTGGGCCAGCTACGACCGCACCCCAGGGCCCCTCATCGGCTGCCCTCCTGGACCCTCATTTCTCCTCTTTCCTTCTTACAGGTGCCACGCCCCTGGGAGAGTGTTTTAGAGTGTTTTCACTGTTAGGGTGGAGGGAGGCTGTGTATGTCTAGGAGAGCTGGCTCCCCTGCTAACCATGAGGGTCCTTGCAGCAGGGAATCGCGGGAGCCCCAGGATGTGCTTTGCCCTCTCCTCACCTGTTTGCTCCTTGGGGTTTGCTGATGAGATGAAGAATGAGGCATCCATAGGAGCTGCTGGAACCAAGGGCAGGGAGGATGGGAAGAGGTTTTACCCAGCACCGAATACACACAGATCTCTGTGACAAGAGCTCATGCTCTCCCGCTTCTCACAAGACCCCAGAGTGGATGGGGAAGGAGGCGGCAGCAGCCAGCGCCGGAAGCAGGGTGCAGCGTTTGGTCTGGTTGCTGACGGCTGTGTGGGAAACTTGCAGGAGTGTGTGTTACTAAATGGCTACCCGTCCTGGCCCAGCTTGGTTGCAGGTTGCGTTTTCCATGTGGGGATTCAGGAGTTCCATCTGAAATTGCACCGTGCTTGCTGGATGCTCTTTATCACAATGTAGGAAGCAGGAGAGAATTTCCAAAGTTCCGGAGACAGACAGACCCTGGTCCTACAAGCTGCAGAGCTCACCACAGTCGAAGCGGACTTTCACGTAAGCCCAGACCTAAGCCTCTCTAAAAGAGGCCACTCCAGCCTTTGCCAGGAGCTCTGTTGACTTTATTCTGCCTAATCCTGCTGTGGCCTGGGGTCCTGTTGGAACATGAATGGAAGACCAGAGCAGGGGTGGAATGCCCTTGGCTTTCTGCCACCTGCCCTCCACGTGTCCACGACATGCTCAGATGGGGTCTAGAACTGACCCTGGGCCGTGGCCTACCATCCTGCCTGTGTCAGGGCCGCTCCGCAGCCTGGCAGGCCACCCTGCCCACCCTGGCCCGTGTTCCTGCCCCAGAGGCCTGGCCTGTCTGCTTACTGCCCAACCCTCGGGTGTAGGGCATCTCCTGCTCCTGCCTTGCCTGGCATCAGACCTACGGCCTTGGCACCATTTCCTCATTTCCTCCCTCATGCCCACCCCCCTGTGTGCCCCCTAAGTCCAAGGAGGGCGGGGGGTCTGCTGGCCAGGAGACACTCAGGTGCTAAACATAGTGCTTTTCTAGGGTTTGGGGCTTAAAGCTACACTTTGGCCTTTGTGGAAGATCTGGCCATCTTGGAAAATTTGGTAGAAGATGACCTAAGGATGGAATTAAACCACTGATCACCCCGATTGTGCCCATGGCTTTTCCAGTTTTTCTTTTTGGTTTTATTTTTTTAGAGATGAGATCTTGCTGTGTCCCCCAGATTGGGGTGCAGTGGTGCGATCATAGCTCACTGCAGCCTTGAACTCCTGGGCTCAAGTGATCTTCCCACCTCAGCCTCTGGAGTAGCTGAGACTGGGCCGTGCTCATTTTTTTATTTTTAGTAGGGACAAGGGTCATGCTATACTGCCCAGGCGGGGTGTAGGTTTTTTTGTGAAGAGCATTTGGGAGTTTTGTTTTTGCTTGATTACTTTTCCTTTACCACTAGGGGGAGATCATTAATCACGAATTGAAGGGGTTTCTTTCTTTCTTTCTTTCTTTTTTTTTTTTTTTCCAGTAAAGAAAGAATTTAATTGAAGTAAGGCAGGCCCCCCGGGGGATGGAGTTATTATTCAAATCAGTCTCTGAAGGCTCAGAGGTTAGGGGTTTTCAAGGTGGAGTTCTTGCTATAATTCCACTCTTTCTGCCTTCTCCCTCCCTCTCTCTTTTTGAGAAAGGGTCTCACTCTGTCACCCAGGCTGGAGTGCAGTGGTGCAATCAGAGTCCACTGTAGCCTCAAACTTTTAGGCTGCAGCGATCCTCCTGCCTCAGGCTTCTGAGTGCCTGCAACCACAGCCGCTACACCTGGCTTCATTGTTTTAAGCCCCCAGACCTGTGGTAATTAACCTGGTGAAACAACTCCTATTGCGTAGTATATTTGTAAGGTCTTTTTCCCTCAGGATTTCATGTACATTTTAGGATTTAAGTTCTTTGAGAGCAAACCATGGTACTCAGACTTCCTTAGTCACTTCAATGTGCTGTCATTGTGCAGGCCCACGTGTAGGGCCCAAGTTTTGGGAGATGAGTTGATTCCACACCCTATGTCCTGTTTTTTTTCCACGCCTCCCAGGGTTCTGGAACAGTAGGCACCAACAGCTACACATGCGGAACTCACACCACTGTCTGTGATGTGGGAACTGCTGTTACCTACCGCAAACGAATACAGCACTGTTGGCTGTCAAGTGAGGCTTGGAGCAGTGGAAAGTTGGTGGTTCTGAGTGGTTGACTGTTTGAGGTGTGATTCATCTCCTGGAAAAATGCTCCCAGGACTTCCTTTGTAACCAGGACAAAGTGCCACGGAAGTTAACCACTTAGTTGCTGAAAAGCATTGAACACCCACTTGGGTCTGGCAAAGTCTTTTTGAATAATACAGGGAGGTTCAGGAGAGAAAGAAGCCAAGCAGAGGATGAGGCGCTTTCTGCACTTGGCTGTCAGAAACCTGGACTCACAATTTTATTGAGCCCGTTTGGGGTTGTGTAGAAAGTTTTTCTTTCTTTACTTTTTTTTTTTTTTTTTTTTTTTTTTGGGACAGGGTCTGACTCTGTCACCTAGGTTGGAGTGCAGTCGTGCGGGCTCTGCTCACTGCAACCTCCGCCTCCCAAGAGACTCTCCCATCTCAGTCTCCCGAGCAGCTGGGACCATAGGTGTGTGCCACCATGCCCAGCGAATTTTGGTATTTTTTGTAGAGACAGGGTTTGCCATATTACTGGCCTCGAACTTCTGAGCTCAAGCAATCCTTCCACCTTGGCTTCCCAAATTGCTAGGATTACAGGTGTGAGCCATTGTGCCCAGCTCAGAAATTTTTATGACTTGTTTTTATTTCAAAGAGCTTATGTTTTTAGAGCCCACCCCCACCATTTTTTAGATTCATGTAGAATTGAGTGAATTGAGAGGGTATCCCACCACCCACCATGCTATCAACATCCCATATGAATTTATAAGTCTTCTTTTATTTCAGAGGTAGGGTTTCACCTTGTCACCCAGGCTGGAGTGCAGCGGACAACCATAGCTCACTGTAGTCTCAAACTCCTGGCTCAAGTGATCCTCCTTCCTCAGCCTCCCAAGTAGCTAGGACTATAGATGCATGCACCCAGCCCAGCTATTGTTAAGTGTTTTCGTAGAGACAAGGTCTTGCTATGTTGCCCAGGCTGGTCTTGAACTCGCGACCTCAAGCAGTCCTCCTGCCTCGGCCTCCCAAAGTGCTGGGATTACAGGTGTGAGCCGTCGTGCCGAGCCGTAAGGTATTCTTCTTACACATTTAGAATGATTAGTTCTATTGTAAAATTACTGTCTGCATATATATAACCAAGAGTGGATTTTATGATAGGTTTAATAGGGGTCAAGCCTTTTTCTATAAAAGTGAAAAAGACAACCACAAACCCTCACAACTGACATCAGCAGCAGCCCCAAACCTAAAGAGTGTGGGAGGGGGGTGTTGTCCCACTGCAAGTGGCTCAGCTACAGGGTCTTGGGATGGAACTCCATGGCACAGTCTAAGGACCTATTGGGATTCCTGGTGTTGGCCGGGAAATTGGCTGGATAAGTGGTCTCTACAGACCCCCATGTGTGCCATCCCGTGCCCACATAGCCCACTTGAACCCACTACTGCATAACTTTCCAGGTCCTAATTGGGACCACCTACTCCCCTTGGAGGGTCTGGATGGAGTTTTACCTCTACAGGTGCCTCTCGCTCATCCTCCCTCACCTTGCCGACAAGGCAGGACAATTGGGAGGAGGGAGTCTTGCTTGACAGACCTAAAGGCAGGGTTTCACTTTGTCACCCAGGCTGGAGTGCAGTGGACAGTCATAGCTCACTGTGGTCTCAAACTCCTGGCTTAAGTCATCCTCCTCCCTCAGCCTCCCAAGTAGCTAGGACTATAGATGCATGCCACCCAGCCCATCGGCAATGTCTCGCCTGTGGCAAACTGGATCCCGGTGGATTACTTTGGTGGGTGGAAACCAGTTGGCACCCTATTTAATTTGGACTTTTTGGGGGATAACTGCACACTGGTTCTCTTTTCTTCTCAGACCTAAATTTTGACCACACAACCTTTCAGCCTGCTCACCCCCATCCTCCTTTGAGCTGGGTTAACCCTAATTCACCCCCTGACAGAGCCCTCAAAGTAGCCTTTACAAGATCAAAGTCAAGACCCCTAACTTACCAATAAATTTTAATGAAACTTCCAGAAAAAGTGCTTTGCCAGCATCCTTAGGAACCGCTCAGTTCTTGCAGCGGGAGGGCGCTGTTGGAAGTCCATTTGGCTGTAGTGGTGTGGAATCCAACACGCAGCAGCTTCACTGCTTGTTGGAGGAATCGCCCTTAAGAGCATTTCCCGAGATAGTGGTTTTCCCATCTCCGTACTCTGCTAGTTAACGTTCTCCACTTGCTTGGGTTTATCCTTTCAATCCCTTCGGTAATTAAACTGCTGAAAAGTATATATTGGTAAGAACAGACATCGTCAATGGACTGCAAACAAAACTCTTTTCTGTTATTGAAGATAAACCATTTCAGACAAGACCAGGCTGAGTCTAAAGGGTTCAGGTAATTGCAGGGGGAAGGCAGAGAGAGTAGTTCGTGGCCACAGGACTTGGCCACCTCTGGGCAACACACAATGTTTGCGAAGTTAATGACTGCAGGGATGTAGAACTGGCCCTCAGCTTCTCTGTCTTCCTTTGGCCTCTGCTCTTCCTGCTGCCTTCTTTCTTTGACCACGATAACACACTTTCCATAGGCCTTCCTCACCACGTCACAGAACTCAGAGAAGAGGCTGTCTTCTTGTTTGATACACAGCTCATCTCTTAGGAACATCCGATGTTGCCAAGGCACCCATCCCTGACTACCGCCAGCGTGAACAATACACCAACTTGGGGTTTGCATGTAATATCCATCACTAACATATTCCCCAGTTACGAGACTTTCTGGGATACTGGTTTCCCCAAAATATACGGTCTTAAATCCATCATATTGCAGTGTTCTCAGGGTTTTCAGATATTGGAGGCATTGCGTCCTCTTGATGCCATCAAATTGACTTCTGTTAATGATGTTTCTGAAAAGAGCGTTTGCAAAGCGAGGCATGGTGGTTTCTCAAGTGTTTTTAAAAGCTTACATGTCTGCGTCTGGGGAAAGCTGGCAAGTGGGGGATGATGACCTCATAAAGGGCTTTCTTACAGCTGTGCCAGTCCCACAGATACACTTCAGGTTTCAAGACATCATGAACAACGAACTCCCTGCTGACCCATAAAATGTGGGAATTGCCGATGCTACCCACAAAAATGCTACTTTGGCATCACTTCTGCAAAGGTCTGAGACAGAGGTTTGCAATCTTTTAGTAGCAATGAGTCTACTGGTTTGGCTTAAGATGGAGAGAAATGTTTACATTCATGTATCCATTTCAAAAATAGTTACTGAGCACACGCTATACACCAGGCATTGTGCCAGGCACCAGGGGTATAGTCACGACACACCCAGGGAGTCCTGGACCTGCATGTTGTGTGTCTGTGTATGCACAGAATTTGTGCCAACTGCCTTCCCGTTGGTGCAACCAAGAGTGATTCTTACAGGTGGCAGAGGAAGGTATGGCAAATAGCAGAAGACAGTCTGTCTGCACAGCTACCTTCCACTGGAGCTTGCAGTAGAATTAGCTTGAGCTAATTCAGTACCCACTCTGGAAAGCACTTTTAATTTTACATACTCAGGCAAAATGACAGTTGGCTTCAACAGTTTCTTCGATTTCCTTTATATTTTCTTGCCTTGTTGGCCAGGCTGGTCTCGAACTCTTGACCTCAGGTGATCTGCCTGCCTTGGCTTCCCAAAGTGCTGGGATTACAGGTGTGAGCCACTGTGCTCAGCCAGTGATTTTTGACTTTTGTCAATTTGCTAGGCAGAAAGATCATTTTGTTGTTTTAACTTGCTTACTTATGAGTAAATCTGGCAGTATTTTATGAAAACAATAACAACAGGAACTTGATATAAAATGTGCAAATTCAGATGTCCTCAAAGATCATTTTAGAGCCAGCATGAAGTGGGGCGGCACTGGTAGTGGGGGCTGACTGTGGAGAAAACCAGCCAAAGGCAGACTCATGGGATCCTGAAGCTTTTGACTGGGGTTCACTCGGAGCCCAGACTCAGGCTGGTTCTGACAGGGACACCTGCCAGGCCTCGGCTTAGGGCCACAAGGTGGGACAC